ATCGTGTGTGTAAACCTAGTGGAGTTCATAAAATCCCTGAAACTAGACTTAGCGCTGCCACAGAGGGGCTGGGAGCTGAACCCAGGTATTCTGGAAGAGCAGCCAGTGCATCTCCCCAGCCCTAGCTTTGTCTCAAGTGCTTAGTACTCCCCAGTGCCTGCTCACTCGTGGTTTCTACCCTCTGAGGTCCATCACCCACACCATCATCGCCCACACCATCATCGCCCACACCATCATCACCATCATTGCCCACACCGTCATCACCCACACCATGGTCCACCTAGGACGCTAGCTAGTATTGCTTCTTCGGTCAGTGTGGCCAGTCCTACCTCTCATTTTCTAAAATAGCACTTATGCTTGAGGTCAGAGGGTGCACAGATAAGCAATAAATGAAGTAAGTTCATGAAACCTGTATTTGATTTTATCAATATATTGCTTAGACGCGGCTCAGTTTAAAAGGAGGGAGTGGTTTGTGTCTTTCAGCAGTAGTAGTACAGAGGACAGAAAGATACCTCCGTGGAGAGGCACTAGCTCACAGAGTGCTCTCTTCCCCAGCGATCTCCTCCCTGTGCAAAGCCTTCTCTGTGACCTCCTAACACTATACCTACCTAACCCTGGCTAAGCCACCTCAGGCAGGGCTGCTGCTGTGGTGTTCCTGGTTCTCTGCTTTGGCTCCAGCTTGATCTTTGAGCTTGCTCTTGATGCCATCCTCACCATCACCTCCTAACTTGCATCTGTTTATCTCATCCAGCTGCTGTGACCAATCACTGCAGTACCTTGAAGAACACAGATGGACATCAGAGGTCCAAAATCAGCTTTCCCTAACTCTAAACTCAGGTGTCACCCAAGCTGCTTCCTCCTAGAGGGGGAAACCTGTTTCCTTGCCTATTGCAAATTGAAGTGACTGCCTTGGCTGCCATCTTGAAGGCATATCACTGTGCTCTCCCCTTCCGTCTTCAGATCACCTTCTCTGGCCCTGACTGCTCACATTTGCTTTTGTGAAGAGCCTTGTAATTATCCCCCTTGTCCATCTCTGTCCCTGTGACCAGCCCTCCCAGTTGAGTTTCTCAGAGGCAGGGATGCGGTCTTACTCCTCTTTCCTACCAGTATTCATACAAGACTTTGGGAGCTCAAGTGTTGGAAGCAATAAGACAAGGCAGCTGGGATCCTATTGGCTGGCCTTGGATCCCAGCAGTCTTATTCATGGCCTTGTCCCCTGAGCAGATACGAAGAAGCTCACGGTGCAGTTAAACAGGTTCACACGGGAGCAGACACGGAGAGGACACGAGAGCAGGCCACACTTACCCGAAGCAGCTGGTTTTGTTGTTATTGTTGATTTTATTGTTTATGATGTGAAAGGAGTGTAAGTTCTTAGAATTCATAGGAAAGGATATGTGACGAAGGTAAAGAAAATGAAGAATTTGTATGGGCCGAACGTGACCCTAGAGAACAACCTGCTGTGCACCTAGTGCTGTGAGTGGGTGGCATAGCTAGACTCATGGTGAGGTCAGAGAACTGAGCGATCCATCACTATAGGGCATATGTAACAAACGGAACTTGTGGGTACTCTTAAGACTTGTGTTAGAGCTGAAGATCTTCCCACCTTATTCTCCCAAACGCTGAGATTACAAGTATATATCACCATGCACAGGCAACAACATCTAGACTTTAAAAACTCTACCCTAGATGGATGTTCCCTCTGTTCAGCAAATTTTCACTGAGCCCCACACAGTCTTTGCCTCCCTACACTGTCCCAAGACCTTTGGTGTCTCTGTTAGAGGAACTATGCAGGTCATCTGCATTCATCTCTTCATGTCCATTTTGGTGTGTGTCTGGCACTGTGTCGTCAGCACATGTAACCTTGAGATCCAGGATGTTTAAGTTATGGGTTCAGTTGTGTGGGTAACTGCACCTCATTAACCCAGGAAGGGCTTCAGGTAGGGAGTGATGTCATTGCACATCAGTATTCCAGGAGAGCTAAATAAGTTGCTGAAGTTAAAGAAAAGAAATTTTTTAAACACCTTGTAGCAAGTATTTCCATTGGGAACACGTACTCTGCCCAAAGATCGTGACTACTTGATGTGCATGAAAGTCATATTTTTAGAATGTCATGAAAAATGGAGAAGCATATGAAAGGCGTTCTAGCTTTAGGAAATAATGCTAGTAGGGATTTTAGATTAAAGAGGTAATAAGATCTGCCTAGGCAGACTGCAGAGAGACAGTTTAGTAGTGAAAAATAAGGTTCTCAGACAAGTAAATGGCAGGCTGGGAAATAGAAATGTATCCTTTGAATGGCAGGGAGCCAATGCCTGTTTTTCAAAACGCAAGACACTGAAGTTATCATACCCTCTGCGTCATTTAACTTGAACGTTAGAGGAGTGATCCTAGAGTTGAAGCGATGATGGCAGGAAATTGGAGTAAAGCCATCTAAAGATTAGGGTCCAATTTATGGATTTATTTCAGGGGCTAAGGTTTGGGGTAGATTAGATATAAAATGAAGAGCCAGACAACTCTACCACAAAATTGGATGCAAGTTAATAAAAGACAGATGTGATCACGTGGTGTTAAAGGTAGGCTTGGGGTCTGTGACTGACAACTTAGAAGTTGGGAACAATGTGAGGTTAGACACTGTTATGTGATAAAGTGTCTCCGTTGTCTACTTAGTCCAATTTTGAAAAGTGCTGTCCTCAATAGACAGCACTATAGCTTTGGCAAGAAATGATGGTTGAGTCTGATAGGCAGCCTCTGTGTGATAGGAGCTAGCCCAGAGCCCAGCAGGGGCCATTGAGAGGAGGGGCACACACTGTCACTCCCGAGCTGGACTCTCGCCTGGAGTGTCACTGCTGCAGAAAGAAACCAAATCTGTATGTCAAGGGTAAAGCGATCTGAGGAGTGTCAGGGCTTCGCGCTCTGACAGTGAATGAGTAGGGCTGCTGGGTGCTCAAAGGGGGAGAGGCGGAAGAGTGACAGAATGGGTCCTGACTGGGAGGTTGGAAGAAGCTCCTGGTTCAACCCATGAGTGAGCAACAGAGACCCCATACCTCTTCCATAGCCAACTCAAAGGCCCCTGTGGTGGGGACACAGTGAGCGTCTGCCCCAACCCCGGCTTTTGCTTGACCCCTGTGGCCAGGACAGGGGTTGAAGCTGGTGACTGAGCAGAAGGCAGCCCTGCTCTACTGCACCGCTTCCTTCTGCTACATTCTGGCCAAGCTAGGGCAGAGCCTTGTCTGACATCTGCGTTTGAGTGACACTTTGGTCTTTATGCTGTGTTGGGTGTATGGTGTGATGAACTGCCAAGTAGCCTGTGGGCATCCGCAGTAATTGTTGACTTAAGTTCCAGGACACAAAGAGAAGCTGCAGACAGTGCCCTGCTACAGAGGAAGAGAGCTGTGGGTGGCCTGGGAGGTTGTGCAGTGAGAGCTGTATGGGGTGCTGGGGCCCATTCTTGTCTTTGAGGACTTGTTGGAGAGTTTCAGCTGAGCATTCCTGAGCTGCCTTTGAACAGTGACACTTGGGTACACATGTCTTCTCTCTTCGACTTCTCCAGTGCTGTGGCCTCTGACTGCCAGACCTTTCCGAAGTGAGGAATCCTGTTGCACACACATGCTGATGTAGTCAGAGTGACTCACTGAAAATTCCTAATGCTTAAGCTTTATGGAGACCCTTCAACCACAAAACTTTCCCATGGGTAGCCGGCACCTACAGTAGCCAGGTCTTGTTTCTCTGCTCATTTTCCATCCTTAGCATCCAGCTTGGGAGGCTACCTGTTGGGCCATGAATCTGCATAAGTGTTTCTAAGAATTCTGATACTTGAGCTCGCTATTCTTCTAGAAGTCCTTCTAATGCACTCTCTAGAATATTACCTCTAATTAAGGCTCTCATGTGTCTGAGAATGTCTAACCATTGAGTTCATTGTCTAGATTGCAGTGATTGGGGTAGAGTTTAAGAGTACAGCTCAGGCCTGGCATGCTGACTCATACCTAAGTCTCAACACTAAGAAGCTAAGGCAGGGCTAGCCTGGGCTACAAAGGGAAATGCATCTTTAAAAAATGCACAACTTGGCTCTTTACCTCAAAGGGCCATTTCTAGGTTCCTTGAACCAGAGTGGGAAGACAAACCTCCACAGAGGACAGAAAACAACATCAGAGCTAGGCCTACACCCCAGGCAAGACGAGAGTGGCAGGCTTGTACTGTGGCCTCTGGGCTCCTCAGAAACGCACAGGTACTTGGTAGTTTTCACGGTCCTGAAAAATGTCTAGGGCCCCCAAATAACAGAAACCTAGTGTGGGCATGGGCTGGGAAGTGTTCCATGGCTGATGTTGAGCCTTGGCTGAGAAGCCTTTTGTGTTCCTGAATCAGTGATCGTCCAGTACAGAGGTCACGGTCTGGGTTCAGCTGTCCCTCCCAGAGCCATCCTTGCCCTCTTGTGTTTGACATCGTAATTCTGAGGTCCAGTGTTGCCCTCGTTCTTACTGGGATGTTTATATGGCACATGGTTTGAGAACTGGAAGAGAAACCCAAAATGGTCCAAGGTGTTTTAACTAGTGCACAGGTCCCTGAGCACATTAGTCCTTACACAGCTTTCCCATGGGTCCAGCGAATGGTTCAGCAGGTAAAAGTGCTTGTCCTGTAAGTGCATTGGTGCACACACGTGCACACATGTACACACCAAATAGCTTCACAATAATAAAATACGCCTATTTTAAAGAACGTTTTCTTGTGACACCCACCTGTTTGAGTAATAGCGCCTTGAATTTTACCATTTCTTGGTTCTTTGATGTGGAACTCAGACTTCCTCCCGTGCCGGGCACATGTGCCTAATGCTTTATTTGACAGAGGCTGAGCCAGCATCTGGCCATCCCTGAATACTCCAGAGGGACGTGGTGAGGACGTAGTGGGGAGCTGGGAGCTTGCGTGCAAATCTTAAGTGATGATTCCGACTGGGGCTGGACACGGGTGTTAAATAACTGTGTTCTGATCATTTAGGTCTCTCTTTATAGGGCATCTTTTATGACCAAGACTGTCCAGTACCAAAGTGAGCTACATAAATTCCTAATCTGGGACACAGCTGGACAAGAACGAGTAAGTCACTCTTTAATTTACTATGTTTTTCTGAGGCCCAGACCAAGTCAGTGTCCCTGTCGTCTGCCGCTCCTCACTTCTCGGCACCAGAGACACATTCACTCCCATTTGCGTGGGCCAGCCTTTTTCTTTTCAATTAGAGCCACAAAGTCCAGTGATGGAGAAAGTGCTAATGGGCACTGAGGGCGTTTTTATACTTTTGAATGTCTTAAAGTAAATGCTGACTAACAGGCCTGATAAAGTTCCTTGAGCAGAGGATGTGATTTGGGGCTCTGTCCTCTAGTAAAGCTGTAAAAGAATTAGTGGTAGAAAGGGAGAATTAAGCACAGCTCATTTATAGCTGCCTTTTAAAAGCTAAAGAGGGAACTTTACAGCATATAAACTTTAGGTTTAAGTGGACAGATTAGCTAATGCAGTGCCTGGCGACAGGCTCTTAAATGCCTGTCAGGGAGCCTGTCCACAGCACAGTGGGGTGGGGGTGGGGCAGGGGCAGGGTTAGAGAAGGAAGGGGGAGCAGAAACAGAAGCACGCCCTTGGTTTCATTCCGTTCTGGGCACTAAGTCCAGTTTCTCTGGTGAGGTGCCTGCAGCAGCCACCCCATTATTCAGTGGCATTGAATTTTGTTTTCAAATGACTTATCCAAACAGAGCATCTGTCAGGTGCGCGACCATGCCCTAAACTCTTCCGGGTTCCAGAGAAGTGATCAGGAGAAAGACCGCATAGGCGCTGTGTGTGGCATAGACTCTGACAAGAATCATGGCAGACAAACGGAAGAACACTAACTTACTGGGATCCCAGACGGAGGCACTGTACATTTGAGCAGAGGTCATGCCTCAGCCTTACCCTTTGTTGCCACCCTTCTGTCTTGATGGCCTGTGTGCATCTGGGATGGGGAGTTAGCACAGTGGTCCCTGTGTGACCATCACCCTTCATCCTGCAGTAGCACTGCTTCCCTGAGTCCTACTAGATGTATGTACACGCTGCCGTCATGTTAGCCAAGCACATGGGCTTTCCCTAGTAGTGAGAGATGTGCCCTTCTGTTGGGTCCCGTGTCTCACCCACCCCCTCAGATTTGTTTGATGCTCACATGCTGCCACCATGAAAGTGGAATGAATGCCTAGGCATGAACCTCCCCTCTACTCAAGTGGTCACAGGAGCCTGAAGACTGACTATCTGCTTTGCCTGCCTTTCCCTTCCCTAGCTCCCATTGGTTCTTTGGCTGATTGTGCTGCTCTGTGGTTCAGTCTGGCTTCCTTGCCTGAAGTACCATCTTTCAGCCTAGAGCTGGGCAGGAGATGCTGAAAGGCCAGGCCAGGGACATGGTGCTTGACCAGGAGACTCTGCAGCAAGACTAGTTTCAGGAGAGGAATACTGGGTTTGGCCAGTCATTATGGAGGACATACCCAGGCCTCCAGATGTCAGGGTTCATCCAGGACTAGATCCTCTAAGGCCCTGTGTGGTAACCATAGCTGGACTCCACCCCACCTCTTCTGCCAGTCTGCTGTGGAGTTTCTCCAGGGTGCCGCACAACTGGAGAGTCTCTTTTCTGTCTTCCCATCTTTGGCCCAGTAACTCCCCAGCCTTTGGAGCCTATCTCTGCTGCCCGGGGGAGCTGCTGCCCGGAAGGAGCTGCCCTGACCGCCCGCTGCCATAAAGCTGTGCTTCTTCGGCTCAGATCTGGGTTCATGTTGCATTCTTCTGACAGTTGTTGGCCATTCGGTTCTTCAGCTGTCCACTCTGCTGGCTTCAGCTGCCTTCACTGTCACTCAGGTGTTCTGCAGCCTTTTGACTGCTCTCTGTTTTCCTCCCTCCAGCCCTGACCCATGTCACTACTCAGAGAACCCAGACACTGTGGGGATCATTGATCAGACACTGCTGTCTTCATGCCCACCCTCATTCGCCTCTATCTGTGTGCGAAGGACCCATGCGACCCATGTGTCCTGCTCCACTCCTGTCCCTGCGTGCAGGCCTCCATGCAGGTCCTTACACACACTTGCCATCAGGCCTTGAGTGTGAGTGTGTGACACTGGCTCTTCTCAAAGGCACTTGTCTCCCTCTGTCACTCACTCACGGGCTTCTGACCAGCTTTTGGCCTCAGGCTAAATGTCACTCCTCAGAGTTTTCCTTCCTCCCTGTTACCTGAGCAGGGGCTCTGGTTCATTCTCTATCATTGCCAGACACTCGACACAAGTTGTAATATCTGCTCATCTGTCTGCCTTTATTGACAGCTCCTTCCACCAAGATGTAAATGTCAAGAGCTGGGCCTGCAGTATCTTGCTTACTGCTGTAGTCCCAGTGCTGGCACAATACCCAAAGGCAGACTCACGCCAGGGCTAGTCGGGAGGCAGCGCAGCACGTGAACGCTATCCTGAGTGAACAGTCACCTGTTTCCTTACATTTCTGTCTTCCATTTAGACTGTGGCCTCTCAGAGAGGCTGGGACTGCCTTGGTGTGTGTCCCAGCGCTTGGCACCTGGCGTTGATGTTAATACTTAGTTAGGTCCGCTGACAGATGAGGACAGATCTCTGCCGACTGTGGTTAGTGCAGGGATAGGTTTCTGATGGTAGCGTGTGTATTGCTTAGCTTTCTGTAGGACTGAGATTCATGGTGGGGACCCAAGACCATTGCAGAATGAAGAGGCTTTTTGATGAGCTGCACAAACGTCCTCCCCATTTGGCCCTCATATCTGCTGCCCCATGTAGCTCTGACAAGTCTCCAATGATGGCAAAGTGATTTCACCAAGTTGATGAAAGCAAGTAAGAACTGGATGGTATGTGAGTCCTTGACTGGGGAGCTCATTACAGTAAAAGAAGTGCTGAGAAGACAATGGTTGTATACCGAAGGGCTAAGAAGCACCTAGGGAAACAGACTGGGGCCCTCAGATGTTTTTTCAAAGCGAATGTTTCTGAGGCCCATGAGAGTCCACTGTGAAATGAAAGGTTCCAGGTTGTGCTCGCGTACATTTCTAGCAGAAGCAGTTCGCCAGGCTGTCTCCTTACTGACTCAGACTTCTCTAAAAATCAGCTCCTGGCTGTAAAAATAAGCCTGAGGTTTCTCAAATGCCAGATTAAATGAAACTTGTTTTCATGATTAAATTTGTTTTTTTAAGACTGAGCATTTGTGAGTCTCTTGTCCACTGTTTACAATTTGAGTGAGCTCATTTTGTCACCATTTGTCCACTTACCCTTCACTGAGACTTCTGGGATGTGCCAAGACGGCCTAGCCCTACGCAGATGGCTATCGTGAGTGTATATCGTATGTACGCTCTAAGCGCAGGGCAGCGTGTGACAGTACGCTAGTGCTGCCTGACTATGTGACAGCCTAGGTGGCTTCTCAGCCACACCTCTAACAGCCATATCTGCAACCCTGTTCTCTGCGCTTGTTCTGGCTCCCTGTTCCTCGGAGGTCAGAACAGTATAAAGGCATAGTTCTCACAGTATTCACACAAACAGTTGTTGTTAGTGCTTCAGCCGGACAAGGATCGCTTAGGAGCATCCAGAACTGGGACTGGAGACCATGGGCTATGATGAACCAGCCACCTCCTCTTGTAAATAAAGGTTTATTGAAACACAGGCATGTTTATCTGTTCAATTTGTCTGTGTTTTTTACTCTACAGTAACCCTGGTCCAGAAATAGAGTAACCCTATGACATAAATAAGAGTATCATGGAGCTAAAGCTATTTCTTGTCTGGTCCGCCACAGGGAAAGTTTGCTGTCCCCTAATCCAGAGCCAGATTTGGGGTACAGATGTGATGACATTTTTGAACTCTCCTTATCTGTGTCCATCTTCTTTCTTCACCAAAACATTATGAGAGACTTCAGAATGGCCAGCTTGGCTCATAAATGTTGGATGAGACTTTACAAAGTAGCTTTCTAAAAAAGTGCGGCCAAACAACCAGTGAGCAAGGCTGGAGCAGCATACGCGGGCATGGGCCAGGCCTCACAGGCCTGCCCGGTTAACTCCCAAGCCTGTGGCACACAGTAGCAAGGAGTCAAGCAGAAAATGCCTTTTCATGATTGTGATAATGAAAAGATATTGTCTAGAGTGCTAGAACACTGGGCAAGGCCAGTGAGCCCTGGAAAGATGCATCCCAGAAAGAAAGAGGACCCTGAAGTCTGTTTAGAACCCTCCTCAAGCCTAAGTGAATGTGCAGAGGGGACATCGCAAAACCCAACAGCAGTCAACAGGAGGAAAATCAGTGTGAAGATGATTTCAAAGCTGCAGTGCAATGTGAGACACAGCTAGTGTGCCTTCCTAATTGTCACATGTATGCAGAAACAAGAAGGTGGCTGGCCAGCCGGCCAGCCCTGTGCTGAGTATCTACAGCCAGAGTCTAAAGTGTGCCTGAAATGTGTCAGAGGCTCAAAGAGTGGCAAGCTGACTGCAGGTGGAAGAAGCTGATGAGGAATATGATGGAAATGCCATGATTGAAAGCCACAGTGTGGACAGTAGAACAGGTCACCTGGGGACCAAGGAAGGAAAGGCCAGGAAAGTCTTGAGTGTCTCAACAGCATAGCAACGCAGTCAGCTGAGTAAAGCATAGCCCCGCTCCCAGGAGAACAAAGAGGGGTGCAGGTTAAACACAGTGTGTCTGTAATTGGTGGCTGAACTCTTACAGTTTTAGTGAGATACCAGTTCTCAAATCTGAGAGCTTCAGCAAACCTTTAAGTACAACAAGGACCCTAGTCAAACTGCCAAAAAAGTGAAGCTAAAGAGAAAATGCTCAAATGGCCAGAGATATGTTGTATACCAGAGAACAGTATGCGTGGGGCTCTACTTCTCACAGAAGCAGTGCAGGCAGACCTTTAGTGTGCTGAGGGCACACAGACGAGTGAGTCTGCCAAGATCATCTCATCTCCCAGATACAAAATCAAAGTAGTCTTAGAGAAAGTGAGAGCAGAGAGTTCAGCGGTAGCAGCCCCAGAGTGGCCCCTCAGAGCCAACAGAAAGAAATAATGAGCACTGCAGGTGATAGAGGGCAAAGAGCATCATTTTTCTTCTCAACGCCTGGGCAACTAGTTACCTTATTCAACAATTAGCGTGTGCATTTGAAGCATTTAGCAACAGCAGCCAAAGAATGGTGAAGTAAGCAGGGTGAGATTCATGCAAGGTTCTTTTAGGCAAGGTTAGATGTTTTATAAGAAGATCTAATGTTTTATAAGAAGCATACATTTAAATTAGAAGTGGATAAAAAAAAAAAAAACTTATGTTGTAGTTGCAAGAACAACCACCTAATAAGTAATGCAGAAAAGTATAGCTAAGAGGCGAGGCGAGGTGGGATTGGGTCTGACACACTAAGCCTAGAGTTTGGTCCCCAGCACTACATAAGCCAGGAGCAATGGCTCACACCTGTAACCCCTTCGTCTGGGCATTGAGGGAGTATCAGGGTTAGGGTCATCCTTGGTCACATCATGAATTCGAGACAACCAAGGATACTAAAACTTAGTCACTGGAGAGAGGGAGGGAGGAAGGGCAGGTGGGCAGGCATTTTAAAAAATTTGAACACATTTGCAACAAAGCCCCTAGACCTGTGTGCAAACACAGCATGTGCTCTTAGAAGTGAAAGGACCAAGCAGCCCACTGAGCAGCAGAAGTGACAGCACTGCTGTGTCACAGACCTCAGCTGTGGTGCTCCAAGAAGTGCGCACTCCTGTGCTCAGAGGGGAGAACAACCTGCGAGGCTGGGAAGGGTCTTCTCTGCAGAAAGGGGAAACCAGCAACGCTGTGGTGATGGTCCATCAGCAGACGGACTTGCGGGCAAGTGTCACCAAGGTTAGAGGCCGTGCAGGGATTGTCTGTGTTGACAGAAGTGCTTTGTCTTTGTGATGAGCATTTACATGGGGATTTACATTTGTCAGCTGACACCTTGTAGACTTGCAATCTGCTTTTCTTGGTGTGACTTTCCCCTTACAAAACTGTAGAGAAAGATAGGACCCTCCAAAGGATGTTGCCATCACAAACACATCCATAGTGGAGGCAGCTGGGACCATAATCCCAGCCCCACTTGCGTGCCTCTGTCTCCTCTCACACTGTTCAAGTCAGCCCAGTGTTTTCAATGTTGGGGGCGGGGTGCAGAAAGGACTGAAACCAGTCAGCTTGTAAACTCTTGGTTACCCTCTAGTGAGTGAGGTCCACGGCAGGCCCTAGCTAGCAGTCATGATGTCTTCCCTCATTGGGGGTTCCAGTTCTAATGTCACTACTTTATCAGAAGGAAGACCATGAACTCAGAGACATTCAAGAGCCACATGCCTACTGTGTGTGTTCCGCATGTACACCCAATGCCAACCAACCACCACAAAGGGAGCAGGGTACAGTACAGGAATGTTGCATCACTCTTGGGGACCAGGCTTAAAAGTGAGGTATAAGATGAAGGCATGATACTTGGTAGGGGAAATCCACACTGGAACATTTGCCCAAAACCCAGATCTGAGTGAGGAAAGAGCTTCACGTTTTCTATCCCACACTCCTGCAAAGAAATGGCCTACTGAATTGATAGTTCCCTCCCTAAGTCCCTCTCTCGTGTGTGCTGGGAGGAGGCAGAAACTGCTTACGGTGTGACATTGTGAAAGTAGAGTGAGGCCTATGCATGCCGACGTTAGAAAAGTTGCAAACTCATTCAGGTCGGGAATTTAAGTGTGCATTCATGTCTAGAACTGTTCACAGCAGTGGCTTTTGTTTGTTTTAGCTCATCTCTATACATCCCAGCTGCAGACCCCCCCTATCCTCCCCTCCCAGTCCCCTCCCAACCCTTATTCCCTACTCCATTCCTGCCCCTTAGCCCCCTCCTCTTCCATCCCCATCCAGGGCAGGTCTCCCATGAGTATCAGTATCAAGTTGCAGTATTAAGGCTGGGCAAGGCGACCCAGTGTGAGGAGTAGAATCCCAAAAGACAGCAAAAGAGTCGGAAACAGCCCCTGTTCCCACTGTTAGGAGCCCCACAAGAGGACCAAACCAAACAATTGAAATATCTATGCAGAGGGCCTAAGTCAGTTCCATGCAGGCCCTCTGGTTGTCCATTCAGTCTCTTTGAGGCCCTGTGATCCTAAGTTAGTTGATTGTGTGAGCCTTCCCATAGTGGGTTAACCCTTTGGCTATAGTTAGCAGGGTTTTTGTGTCCTCGGTTTGGGAAGCCAAAGTTTAAAGGACTATAGAGCAAATGAATTTGGGAATCAGAATGCTTTCTTAACTGAAACAATTGTTTATAGCTCCACATTCCATTCATATAAAGCTGTTTTCTAGACTGTCTTCCAGGACATTCCAGTACTACCTCGCTGTTAGTAGTCACAGGTTCATTTGCTGTGAGCCATTACTCATCCTCTGCTTTCAGAGAGAGAGTACCTTTTGTGCAGGGATAATGGACTTGAGTCTGCTAAAAGGATATCCTTAACTGGCTGTCCCCTATCATTTCTTCTTCTCCCTCTGCAGTTTCGTGCGTTGGCACCGATGTACTATCGAGGGTCAGCGGCAGCCATCATCGTTTATGACATCACAAAAGAAGTAAGACTTTCTTCCTTTCTTCTTAGACACCGTTGTCTGTTGCTCAGGCCTCCAGCTCTCTCCTTCTTTGTTGCAGGAGACGTTTTCAACGTTGAAGAACTGGGTGAGGGAGCTCCGGCAGCACGGGCCCCCTAGCATTGTTGTTGCCATCGCTGGGAACAAATGTGATCTTACCGATGTCAGGTGAGTTATTAGACAAGAGATTCCCATGCCGATTACATGTTCTTTTTCTAATGAGCCATATCCATGGTAAGAGTCTAGCTTTTATTTTATCTCTGACATTGAAAAATTTCTTGTGTTATTTGGTTGGCCCTGAAGTTTCAAGCTAAAATGAAGACTAAAGGCATTTGGACTTAATTATATTACATGTAGACAGGCGTGTAATTTACTCAAACATTGGTGGTATCACATATGACATTATCTGAGATCATTGCCTCTCAGGCTGCCATGACACGGAGTAATTGAATGCAAAAAGTGCATCTATTGACAGTGTCAGTGTACCATATCTGACTCTCAGAGCGAAGACCTTGTTTTGTTTTGTTTTGTTTTGTTTTGTTTTGTTTTGTTTTGTTGGTCGGGGTTGTTTGTTTAACATAGGGGTTGGAGAAAACCTTAACATGAAGGTCATGTAATGGGAAAGACTGTCTGGAATTAGGCCACCGCTGACCCAGATCAGCCAGCGGTGTTCTGTTGTGTAGGGTGTGGTGAGGGGAAGGTCTCAAGGGGCAGAACTTCTGATTAGCAATTGTTGCCTTCCAGAGAAGTCATGGAGAGAGATGCTAAGGACTACGCCGATTCCATTCATGCCATCTTTGTAGAGACCAGCGCAAAAAATGCGATAAACATAAATGAACTCTTTATAGAGATTAGTAAGTATCTGCATCTCTGGGGCGTCCTCCACTAAGGGTAGACACAGCAGTTTTCCTTCTGAGACGGTGGCCACAGCAGGAGGCTTGAACAGTTGAGGATAGCCAGTCTGTCTGTCACAGAGCGGTTTCTGGAGTGGTGTTGCTTAGTAGTGAGCACCTTTCCAGAAAGAATTCCTCTCAATGTCCAAGCTGCCTAATGCTCTCCTAAGCATGTCTCAGTTATTCATGCAATCACAAATGAACAGAATGGACTGCAAAGGTGGCTTGGTGGGGAGCATGCATTGCTCCTTCAGAGGGCCTGAGTTCATTCCCAGCACCTAGCTCGTGCTCACAGCCACCCGCTCTGGGGAGACCCACGCTTCCGGCCTCTGAGCCTCGTGCTCACAGCCACCCGCTCTGGGGAGACCCACGCTTCCGGCCTCTGAGTGCAGCCGTGCTCACAGCCACCCGCTCTGGGGAGACCCACGCTTCCGGCCTCTGAGCCTCGTGCTCACAGCCACCCGCTCTGGGGAGACCCACGCTTCCGGCCTCTGAGTGCAGCCGTGCTTGTGCTCACACCTCTACACAGACGACAGACACACACACACAGGGCCAAACATGCTCAAGAGCTCTAGAAGGAAAGAAAAAATACATACACAGAACAACTCACTGGAAACGAAAAATGGGGGTGTGGTCTGTGTGTAAGAAAACCCCAGAACTTAGTCCTTGGCAAGGGAAGGAAGGCCAGACATCCCGGCCTTCTTCCTTCAGGGTGCTGGCATTTGACTGCGGGTGAGAGAAGCTGTTCCGTGCCTTTGGGATTCTCTGCAGATTGCTTCTGTGTTTATTCATTCCATTCAAATTCATCAAAATATTTATTGGGAACTGTTCCAGACTCAAGGGAACCAGACTAAAGAAGATAGACACAGCCCTTGCTTCCCTGGGGTGTATGTTCCGTTGAGCAAGTCAGGCAGTGAACTCCAAATAAATAGGATCATTTCACACAATAATAAGAGATAGGAAGAAAGCAATGAGATAGATGTAAGCATGTGTGCAGAGCGTCCAAGAAAGCCCCTCTGGGGAAGAGAGTTGGAAGCTGAGCCTGATGAAGGTCTCTCTGAGGCAGTGGGATGACTTGCTTTTACAGAGCACAGCCAGCTCCCAAATGGAGGGAGCAGCTGCCCTAGCACAGTGCATTTACCCATCAACTGCCCTTAGGTTGAAATCCACAGTAGCTGCAAGCTACAAGAGCTCTTAGCCTTAGTGAAGGCGAAAGTCATGAATGGCAAGAGCCATACAGGGACTGCCCCAAGGGAGCCAGTGTGTTCCCCCGAAGACTGAACCAATAGCAGCAGTTGGGGCCACTCTGGGTTCTAAAGATTAGGCATGTTTTGTTCTTTGTATTTCATTTTTGAGGCAGGGACTCACTCTGTAACTCAGTCTTGAACTCACAGCAGTCCCCTGCCTCAGCCTCCAAAGCGCTAGACTTCACAAATGTGAGTTCATACATCTAGTCCTGAGATAGCTTAGATGGTTCAGAGATCTGGATTTTTTTGTATGTGTTCCATTGCTTTAATTTGACCACGAATTTAAACCTTTTCAGAGCTGTTGGCGACATCACAGCCAGTGGTCTGCCCCTGGCACGCTCGGGCATTTCTCTTCATTTCAGGAGTAGGGACATGGTGCTCATAACTAGCAGGCAGCCACGTTCATAGTGTGTCACGTGTTGAGATGATTCTTGGTTTTGATGTGGCTTCTTTTTTTTACACTATAGCAATCTTAAAAATAAACAGGTCGTGGACTTTATGACCAACAAATCCTTACACTGAAACTTAGACAAGCAGGATGCAGCCCTGTGCTGGTGTCTTCCCTGACATGCTCAGGGCCTGGGCTCAGTTGCTAGCACTGCAGAGAGAAGGAGATGCAGAGATAGCGCACACACTGAGGAGAACTGAACATGGCCACAGAGATGAAGACCAGACAGAGGTAGAGGTCATCTCTGGTTTTGCTCAGTGAGTACTGTCAGGAAACTTGTGCCTAGCACACGGCTTGGGTTGAAAGCATAATGTACATACAGGAAAGGTCAATTTTAGAAGCACCAAGGGGCTGGGTTGTGTCAGAAAGAGCAAAGCCTTGGCTTGGCATTCAGAGAAGCTCAGCTGCTCCCACCCCCAAGGATGACCCAGCCTGGTGACTGAATCCAGTTGGGTTTCTTTCCCATGTTTTATTTTAGGTTTTTGGTTTTGTTTTTTGTTTTGTTTTTTTTTGGGGGGGGGGTTGTTTTTGTTTTATTTTGTTTTGTTTTTGAGACAGGATCTCACTACGTAGCCCAGGCTGTCCTGAAACTCCTTTTGTATACCAGGCTGGCCTTGAACTCAAAGAAATCGCCCTGCTTCTGTGTCCCCTGTGCTAGGTAGGATAAGGATAGCACTTTGCTGTCTACTGTCCCCATCTTCTATAGCCCGGCCTGGCCTCACACTTCTCTGTTACTCAGGATGAGGGTGACTTTGGCCTCCTTGCTTTCCCTCCTGATCCCTAGAGTAAACCCACACCACCATGCCTATTTGTTCCGTGCTGAGAATTGAACCCAGTACTTCACATATGCTAGGCAGTCATTCTTTGAGCTACTTTGCCATCCCTTCTGTGTCTAGCTTCTATTCTATATTACATGTTTAAATTGTCCATATATCCCATACAGCTGCAAAAGATGCAGAACTCAAAGTTGGGAAGAAGAAATGGGGACTGTTTGCAGTATGATTGTACCTTCTGTTGTTGACAGACATTGGGCAGTTGCTTCTAACTTAGGGCACTTGCAGGCTGCTCTGTGGAGCATCCTGTGTCCTCTGGGGAACATCTGGACGCATTTTTGCTCAGTATCTCTGTGCCCAAGAGAAAAATTGCTGGGTCATTAGGTTTGCATGTGTTCACTGTGAGTTTACTGCCAAACAGTTTGCAAAGTGGCAGCTGTGCCAGCTGCTGCCCACAGCAGTGGTGTACAAGATTTCTTCCCCGTCAGTCTGTGGGAGAGGCAGGACCTGCATCTCCATGTCTGCTTTGAAGCTGAGTGCCTGCCTGTCCGCATATAGATTTCCACCTGACAGTAGCTGGTGTCCTCTGCTTCAGAGTCCTTAATCTCATGCCTGCCTTCTGCCGAGTCACCATCCATCCCCCTTCCAAATGACTTGTCCTTTACTCTGGACCTCAGTCCCTGCTTGATTATTGTTAGAAATGCCTTCCCCTTTGCTTTGACTTTGATTTCTGAATCAGTCCCTCAGTGAACTGAGCTTTCCAGCCTTATCCAGATTCACTTTGTCCTTTGCTTTATGGTCAGCAGAGTTCCTGCTTGAGAAACCATTGGCCATGCTCAGACCATCAAGCTGTCGCCTGCTTTCTTCTAAAACACTTTTCTCACATTTGAAAATCTTTTGTCACATTTCACGCTTGCCTATGTGGTACCAGCTGTATTTCAGTTTCCCTTTATTGAGAACACCCATAATGACAGGAACCTTCGAGAGGCTTAACTGCATTTGTGATTTATTCACAGCAGTGTCGCAACACATTTGGAAAGTTGTAGAGCTCTTTCTGTCCATGTGGAAGTCACACTGTGCACTGTCTACACAGGTTGCCGCCCACAGTGGGGATCTCTCAAGACTTTGCGGCCACACCCAGAGAGTTGTCAGCGATTTTCTCTCAGCCTTGCTCATGTTACATGTCCCTGTGTGGTAATTCCTTCCCTCTTTAAAAAAAAAAAAAAAACAGACAGGAAGCCTTTCTCTAAAGCCTTGTGCTGTGCCACAGAGATCTGGGAGAGCCGCAGGGGAACATGCCACACTGGAGGCCCAGTCCAGCACGAGGACGCCAATCACACAGAAAACAAGGCCAGCATGTTGCTGGTGTCCTGGTGCTTTGTAGCTTTGTGAGGGTTGGAATAACACAGAAGGAGAAGGCAGGAAAACTTTTGTGCAAGCAGCAGCCTTGAGCCATATCAGCCAGGTGGGTGGACGGTGATTGAAGAGCAGTAAAGTGAAGCCTGTCCCTCTCCTACGTTGTCATTGGAGATAATGCCACAGCCTCTTCAGAGAGCGACTTGGCAGCACCTGTCAGAAGTTAAATCGCAATAAGTAATCACTGGGAATATGGTGCATGTGTCAGATAAATGCCCAGGGGTAGGACAGTGCCCTGGCTCCTCCCCCCAGTTCCTGACTCCCCACACAGTTGCCCAGAGCACTGAATCACTGAGGACTGATGCCCAGCAGTAGAGGGATGGTTAGTCAAGGAGATAGTGCACATGCTCAGCTATTCAGAGCAGCAGCAGCAGCCCACTGTGTACTGGGAGGGACCATCCTAAGGGGCAGAGGAGCTGAGTACAATCTGGGAGTATCCACATGCCTGTGATGGCCCCTGCCATGAAACATGGAATCAGGCGTGTTGGTCATTTTTGTTTTTTGGTGTTTTTTTCCCCCTAAATGTGTTTACTGGCTCAAGAGAAAATATTTTAGTCTAATTTATGTATTGAACAGGTTTACTAAGTGTACCCTTATTTAGACCCTGGAATGGAAATTTGTTAGTTTAAGACTGGAGACATCTGAAAGTCTGGTGGCTTCTGGTGCCATGGCAGTCTTGTGCTTCACTGTGGCAGGTGTGCTTTGGGTTCAGGCTTAGGTGATGCTGGGTCACAGTGAACGAACACACTCTTCCCTGTCATCTTACCTCAATGAAACTGTCATGTTGCGTTGCCAAAGTTGTGTCTGAGAAGGAGCAGACTGGGAAGTCAAAGCTATGCTTCCTCTCCTCTCCCTTTGGTGCAGGCCGAAGAATTCCATCCTCAGATGCCAACCCGCCGTCTGGCGGCAAGGGCTTCAAACTCCGAAGACAGCCGTCAGAGCCAAAGCGAAGCTGCTGCTGACAACCCAGGGCCCCTCGCGGATGAAGAAGCAGGTGGTCCTGGATGCTTCAGGAGGGCCATCCCTGCCACCGGCAGCTGCCTCATGCCCTGGAGTCTTCTTCATGCAAAAAGGACTCAGAGGAACTGGCTGTTGGGTTCTCTTGGAAGACTGCAGCAGATGTTTCTCTACAGACTTCTGTCACAGACTCTGGCGTGAAAAGGGACCACATCATTGGCTGTTGACCTAGCTGATGGGAAGCATGTGATGTGTGAATGGTAGGTTTGAATTGCTGGTACTTTTCTAATCAGGATACCATGTGTCATTTGTAAAGGGAAGTGAGCACTTTTGTAGATCTTAAGGGAAAAGGCTGTGGAGATGGTCGTCTCCTTGGCCCGAGTCTCTAGTGTCAGCATCGTATCCTTTAAGATGTGGGAAGTGATCACAGGTGGAGGGATGGACGTCCCCTCCACCGACTCTGAAGCACTTTCATGCACAGTAAAGAACACCGCGGCAGCGGCCTGGCTCACCTTGGGTTTACTTCTGACCCTGTATGTATCACCCACACCTTAGTTTTATCATTACATTTCTAAATAAGCTCTCGGGGTCCAGGTGATGGTGTAGAGACGCTGCCTTGTGTGTCTAAACTAATGAGGAGCAGTGGTTTTAAAAGAACAGGGAAAGAACAAAGGAAATGATTTGGTTTGGGGCCAGGAATTTTGGTTGGGGGGGAAAAAAATGTGCGCTGCCTAGCATATGTAAATTTGTAGTCTATATTTATGAGACCATTGCTAAAAAATTATAAATTATGTAAATACATTGATAACTGAGTTCCGTTTAGTCCTCCATTTAGCCCTGTGCCCCCTCTCACATGTGCCCACTCGCTGTCCAGCAGGACCGCTGGAGATGTTGAAACACATTCACCTTGTGCAGAGCCATGGAGCACTTAGCTCACAGCTTCCTTCCTCCCCCTCTTATCCCTCTGCATACCACCTGGAAATGGTAATAAAGACATATGCCTCCTCCACAAGCCTGACCAGTCCTTCCTAGCCTGGGGCAAGTGAGAGCCCAGCACCATCCATCAGTCACTCACCTGGCCTTGGCAGTAGCTAGCTCAGAGCAAGTGTGTTGAGTGCTTTGCTTGTTGACAGCCAACTCACCCCGCCCTCTGTTCCCTCTGCCCCTTAGTGCTTTGCACTCTCTTCCCTCGGGGACCTAATGAGGTTCTTAATCTAATCTAAAAACAGAGCCCTGAGTGAAACTGCTGGAGACTTGTTCCTGGCCTAATTTGGCACCCTTCCAGCCTGAGTATTGTAACGGAAGGAAATTTACAAGATTAAATAGGAAATGAAACAGCTTGAATTTCAAACCAAATTGTGTTTTCAGAGATGTCCTTAACTGAACAGTCAAAACTTTTCTAAACAGTTGTTACTACTTTGTGCCCTCCTCTACATGCTTAGAATGGAGAGGTTTTAAGGGGTGGGCAACCCAGATGGCAGAGCCCTGAGTGAGGCCTTGTAAGTGAGGCCTCGTGAGCATCTCTGCTGCTTGCTCTTACTGAAGTCAGACTTCCAGCACCTTGTATGGACTTCGTCACCTCATCCCCGAGCCCGCTCCACAATGTTAAATTCGTGATTTCCCAAGGCTGGGCTTCTTCCACCCATGGTGGCTTGATGTGACTTGACATACACCTGCAGGAAGGCAGGGGATCCGGCCTGGTGTGTCCCCAGCATCCCCATGCCAGACCTCTGTCTCCAGGACAAAGCACAAACAGAGCCGCTTGACTCACGTGGAGGAGCCTGCCCCCGAGAGACCCCTTCTGACTCATTTCACCAAAAGGTGGTATAAATTCATGACCTGAACAGCCCGGTAAATTTTGGGAATTGTGGCATATCCGATCGCTGCTCCCCTCTGTGGCACATGGTGGCTTCTCTAGCTAATCCCCTCTTGTGCCACATGTAGGGAACGATGCTGGCTGCGCCTCGTGCGTTACCAATAGGATGAGCAGCATGAGCCCTGTGTCCCTGTCTTCCATGCCCTCTCTGTCACCAGTGTGTCCAAGAAAGGAGCGGGGCTGCCCTGCTTGTGGCATCATGTACTGCTAATGACAGCAGTCTGCAGCCAGGCCCGCACTCCCTTCACAGTGAACATGCACGCGGAGAGAGTCCCATGTCCGCTCTTCCCATAAGATGCATATTAAAATGTAGTCAGACAGTGCTTCATTTTGACCACATTTTAGACTAAACAGGGATCTCATACATAGTTCTTGCTCTCCTGGTTGTTCCTTAAGGGGAACAGGCAGGCTCCAAAGGGATTAAGACCTAGCCCTCCATAGAAATCTTTGGTTCTCTATGATACAAGGCCATTTTTAAAAACTTTGAAGACTGAACAGAAGGGAAGAGATCTTTAATTAACTGCCAGTGTGTATTGATTTCTTTCAGAGAAATTGAAATAAGCTCCTTGCAGGTGTCCAATCCTAGGAACCACTGGTCTCTCGATCTCTTCTTTTACATAAGTGTTTTTCTGATTCTGTGATAACTAATTAACTATCATTTGATGATTAAAAGAACATAAAGTGAGAGTCTGATTAAGTGTCCTTCACTGTAAACTCTGTGAGAAATGATTGGAGAGAAATACCTACTGCAAGCCCTTCTGGTTCCCAGTGAAATGCCACTGCCTGCTTGTCATCTGCAGCCAAGACAAGCACTGTACATGGCAGCCGAGAGATTTATTCCTTTAAAAATAACCTGGGCCCTTGTTCCCATTTATGCTGATGTTTGAAGTGCCCGCCTTCTCTCATTTTCTCCTGTTCTTGGACGCCTACCCAGGTCAAAGGATCGAGGTTTTCTTATGAGGGACATGACTACTTGAAGAGGCCAGTGTCCTTGTTGAGTGAGAGTCTCTGGGCTTTTAAACACATGGCATGCGGGGCGGGGGTGGTGGTGACCCACATTGAATTTTAGAGCTTGTTAGGTCTTATACTGCCCTTGTCTCCGGGAGGAAAGTGGGTTTGGGGTTTGGGGCTGTCTGAATGTCTTCAGGGACACAGCTGAGAGTGTGTCCTATCATCTGGCACCCAGGGGCCACCAAACCACAGGGCCTGCTGCTCTATCTCAGAGGCGCCATTTTTAAATGGGGGGGGGGGTTCAGTTTGGAGTCCCCTGCATACCAGCACAGCAGCCTCCACACCCCAAAAGGCAACACCTCACTCTGTTCTGTTGCCAGAGAGGCTGATGGGGTTCAGTATTCCTCACTCATTCTTCGGAACCCACAGAGGCTGTGCCACGTGAGCCCTCACACTGATCTCTGTGACTGGCCCTTGGACACCCATGTGTCTGCAAGAGCCCGCAGGGGTCAGGAGACAATCTTCCCAAGGAAGGGAAGGCATCAGGGAGCCCCTGAGCTCTGCCCTGACCCCCAAGCCTGCTTCAGAGCATGGCAGCCAGGCAGGTGGCTTGTGCCTGGCTCTTGAGCCTCGCCAGGCTCTTCAGGCTGATTCTGGTGAGTGCAGAATGACATGGAATCTCTTATAGGTCCTTATTTAAATTTGTTTTGAAGGGACAGGCAGGCAACACAGTTTTTGTTAATTGTTTAATTTCATCCGTTTATCCGTTTTTAAGGAAGAAATGGGATCTTACCTTCAAGATTCAAGCTGTTAACTGTGCCTTCCCTGGGGGTAGGGGTGGGGGCTTTAAAGATAAAAGGTGATGGTTTAAGATAACCAGTGAGTGATTGTTTTTAAAACTGGGTTGGTGAGATCTCTTGGTAAAGGCACTTGCTGCCAAGGCTGGTAACAATAGATGGAACTCACATAGTGCAAAGAGAAGAATTCCACAAGTTGTCCTAGCGCCCCCCCCCCCCGACACACACACACACACACATCAATAAATGTCATAATTAAAAATATATATTTTGAGCAGCAAATTATCTAGGAGATAAGCAGAACACTGCAATTTCAGAAAAGGAGAGTTGGGTAGAATTTAGCCTGAGACTTAGAAGAATGACCTCAGCGAATTTCCTGTGACGGCAGAGAGGCTTGTCTCGACTTCCAGGAATAGAAAACCAGGCAATTCGATTATCTGATTTGCGTGAAATGTTAATGGAATTCCAGGGCGTCTGTCCTGTTTTATGTGCAAATGAAACTCTAAAAATATTAGAAGGGTATTGCCCTTCTCAGGAGCCTTCCTTCGGCGTCTCAGAAGGTGATGAGTGGGGGACCTACACGGATGAAGTTCATTAGGCGTGCTGAGAAGGGCAAATGAACAAAGCTTAGAATTGCCGTATTTCTCAGCTCGTCCTTGAGGGTGCTCAGAGCACGAAGGAGTGATTTACTCTCTGGAGCTAGGACTTCCACCAGCATAGATCAAGTTTAATTTGATGGTCTGTACCATCAGAAATAACTAATATCTGTGTTCTTTCCTCTCAGAGGGTAATCAATTAGAGATGTGCTAGAATATTTTTGGCTTCAAAACAAAAGGATTCAGAAGTTTAATAATAAAAAAAAAAAATCTGAGACCTTCCATCGATTCCTTTCATTATGTTGAACATTTTAGATAGCAAGATTAGAATATATAAATTGTAGATGGTGAGATTAAAACCATAATGTCTAAAAAAACTTGCAGGAAAAAAAAAACGTTTTAATTTGCTGCGAGTTCATTTTCTGGTGCCCAGTGTCTCATCAAATGTTACATAATTACAACAAGCAAAAACCCAAGTAGATCTCCACAGACAGGACTTTGAGTGCCAAGCTCTATCTGCCAATTAATGGGGAGTCCTACGACAGTAATGATTTTTTTAAGAGCCTTCTTTAATTGACAGTTTTCTAGCATGGGTCTTAATGTCCTCCTTAATCGCACAGTAGAAACAGCCTGCTGGTTTCTTCATGCCGCTTGATTCGGGAACTTTTCAGAGTTGAGAGGGCAAGTTGTGTACTTCAGTCCATTAGAGGAGCCATCTTTACACAGAGCTTACATTGTTAAGGAGGCCCCAAAGCATCTGAAGCCCAGCTGTGTGCTTCACAAACCACTCCACAAAGCAGGGTCTCAGTCACATGATCAGCCAGGCTGAGGTGTGCCCCATGCTCCCCCGCTCCAGACCATTGCCAGACCCTTGCCCACAATACTGTGTGTGTTGAGAACTAAACATTATTTGACCATCATCAATACTTGGCATTTCTACTTAAATTATCCATTTTACCCCTTGGAGAATCTTAGAGGTGAGGCTGTAACTTCTTTCCCTTCCATCCCTGTTTGAAGTCACTACATGGTGCATGGAACTTTCTTAATCTGGACCATGCCCATGATGTCGGATGGACCAGGGAGACTGGTGAGGGAGGACGGGAGGCACCTGGCTATCAGGGCAGCTGGTCCTGACTCTTATTTTTAATCCATTTGTTGTGTTCTGTAGACAGAGCTTTATTGCCCTGGGAAGGATCTTTTTTTTTTTTTTTTTTTTTTTTTTTTTTAACGTCCCACTCAGTCTTTCCATCATGAGTCACTCACACTGTCATCAATCACAGCTCTGACCTTCAGAAGTTACGGCATGCCTTCTAGATGATTGACAACAAATTCTTGCCTTACTCCTGTTCCCTGTGGGCTCTCCCTCAGTCACCCTGCCCCAGCCACCTCAGCATACATGACTTGCCCTTCCTTCCCTGTGGAGTAAAGAGCTCCCAGGACTTCCAGAAGGGCAGCCGGTAGCCTAAATCTGCAAGGCAAACACAACCGAGCGCAGAACATGACCTGTCCGAGGTGATAGGCCTGTGGGCCGAAGTGTCAGACCTCCACGGTGTTTGGAGGAGAGCTCCTACGGAAGAGTTTAAAAGTCCAAAC